AGGAAATTCAAAAGCAAATTCCAAACTTTTTCCTTACAGCTAATAATAAAACTATGAAAGCGACATTACTTTCTAGCCACGTGTTTGATTTTACAAAACCATGTTTAGGGTCTGTTTTATTGGGATTTAAAGGTGTTTCTACTCCTGGTGTTCAGTTTGAATCTACAAATAAAATAAACATTAATAATGTAAATGTGATTAGAGTAAAATGTAATATTGCAAACGGGTCCTATTTAAATGGAAACAAATCACACACCATACATAGCTTTTATCCAGAAGCTCCTCCTGGCTACAAAATTATTGAAGTTCCAAGAAATATTATATATTTTCCTGTAAATAAGAGAAGTTTAGATGTTGTCAGTATTACATTTGCCGATCAGCATGACAAGGCAATTGACTTTAACAGAGAAGAAACTACAATTACTTGTCATATAAAAAAGATATGAGAATTTATAAGAATTTATCTATAAGTGTACAAAATGCTAGGTTCCTAAAGTCAATAGGACTAAAGTTAAAATTTTCTATTAATAAAAATGGAAGATTTTCTAGACGTTACAGGGAAATCCCAATTCGACGATAGTGTGGTTAAAATTACAAATCACTCCTATGTTCCCCATAACACTTTGGCAATAAATAATTCTGATGAAATTCGAATATGTATTAATAATCAAGATTTGCTAACTCTCCCATGTAGGAGTTATCTGTATATTAAGGGAGAAATTGAAAATCATGATAAAGGTCATTTTATAAATAATGCATTTGCATTCTTATTTGATGAAATTAGATATGAAGTCGCAGGTAAAGAAATAGACATTGTAAGAAACCCAGGAATTTCTAGTCTTATGAAAATATTGAGCTCTTACAATAAAACAACTAAATTGTCAAATGTGGCATTTGATTCTGACACGAATTTAAAAGAGTTCCATAAAGGTGGCAAGTTTAGTACTTGTTTGCCATTAGAACTGTTAATGGGTGTATTTGAGGATTTTAATAAGGTATTAGTAAATGTCAAACAAGAATTGGTGTTAAAAAGATCCAAAAATGATTTGAATTGTATATTAACAACCACTAGTGCTCCAGCCAGTGGTACTGCTGATGCAATTCCTAAAATTACACTTAACTCAATTCAATGGGTGATGCCACATGTAATACCATCAGATGGGGAGAAGTTACAATTACAAAAGATGTTACTGCAAAATAAAAATTTGCAAATTGCATTTAGAAGCTTAGAGTTGCATGAACTTCCATCATATCCCAATACTACAAGACATACATGGTCAGTAAAGACATCTTCAAGTTTGGAGAAGCCTAGGTATATTATATTTGGTTTCCAAACAGCTAGGGATAATAGTGCACGAAAAAGAACTGATGAATTTGATCACTGTAAGTTAAAAAATCTCAAAGTATTTCTAAACTCTGAATATTATCCTTATAGTGATTTAAATCTCGACTTTGAAAATGGAGATGTCTCTAAAGCTTATGAGATGTTTATGAGGTTTAGAGAGACTTACTATAATACTATCCCAGATCCTATGATTAGTAGGGCTGAGTTTATGAAGAAATATCCACTAATTGTAATAGACTGTTCTAGACAGAACGAAACAGTGAAGGAAGGAATTGTTGATATTAAATTAGAGATTGAAACTGCAGAAAATGTACCAGCAAATACATCTGCATATTGTTTGATAATACATGATAAAGTGTTTGAGTACAATCCTTTGTCAAATGAGATAAATAAAATGTAAATAAAAGATGAAAAACATTCAACAAGAATTGGTTGACTCTGCAAATCAAATACGAGAGAAATATAGAGCTTTAAAACGTGGCAAGTTTCTAGAGGCTGAAGAGAGGTTTCAAACATTCCAACCTTTAATAGAGCCATTACAAGAATTAAAAAAAATTGCCAAAACAGAGAGGCCTCGAATGGAGATTCTCCCAATGACTCCATCTAGAATACCAATAATACCAAGATTGCAACCATTACAACAATCTACTCCACAGAAATTAGATTTTGGTCTTTTAGCATCAGACTATTTAGGAAATTACCTCAGTAAAAGTAGTATGACAGACACTACATATGGTATTAGACGAGAAGCAAATAAATTTTTTATTGGAAATAAGGAAGTTGACATTGCCAATGATGATGTTACAATTGCAAATAAAACCTACAAGGGGACAAAAGGTTTGTGGCAATTGTTAACTTTAAAAGAACCTGAGGATTATACTCCAGCTGATTTGCAAAACTATAAAGAAATTTTGGAAGCTACAAATGGACATTTAAAGAGTTACAAAGATGGTGCACCAATTTCAAGTAATAGACATACTAAATATCTTAATATAATTAAACCTCTTTTTAAATCTGTTGGTGAAGGTTTGAGACAAGTGACTGGTAATAAAATAGACTATATTTATTGGGATGATCCTAATGAGCTTGTAGATAGGTTAAGACTTCTTTGGCTAAGTCGCCAAGCCGGTAACTCAGGAGTGGATAATGAAATAGATTCCATTATTGAGGAATTAAGAGAAAGTGGAATTATTTATTAAATAAAAATATGTTTATAGATAAATTTTATCGTTTATATAATCCATATAATAAGCCTGCAGAACCCAGGGCTAGTAGTGAACCTACTTTAAATTTACAAGACGATAGTTGGAATGGTTTAAACCGTAAAATTGGTAATGTTAAAGATGGGGAGTTTGTAGATGATGTATCAACTTTGGGACAGACATTAACTAGAAAAGGTGATGTCTTTTTACAAGGTAAAACTAAATATGAGTTTTTAGAATCTAAGAATAAAAATTGGAATGCTAAAAAACAGAAAATTACTAATGTGGGAAAGGGTGAAAGTTTAGATGATGTGCCCACTTTACAACAGACTTTAATACGAAAAAAAGATGGTACATTTGTACAAGATGATAATAATTATGAATTTTTAGAATCAGAGAATGGTATTTGGAATGCTAAGAAACGGAAAATTACTAATGTAGAAAAGGGTAAAAGTTTAGATGATGTGCCCACTTTACAACAGACTTTAATACGAAAAGAAGATGGTAAATTTGTACAAGACGATAATAATTATGAATTTTTAGAATCAGAGAATGGTGTTTGGAATGCAAAGAAACAGAAAATTAGTAATTTGATGGAAGGTACAGATAGTAAAGATGCTGTGAATGTTTCACAAGTTCCAAAAATGGAAGCAGGCTATTGGAGTTTTAATAGTAAAAGGTTAGTACGTGTCAAACCTGCCATTGATGACACTGACTGTGTTATAAAAGAACAGACTATAACTTTTGATAAAAAAGAAAAATGTTGGGATGCCAAAAAACAATTTATAAGAAATCTACCAGAGGGGGAACATTCGGATGATATTTGTCTAATGTCACAATCTATGCATTACGATGGATCAAAATTTGTATATGGAGAAAAAATTTTTAATTTGATGGAATATAATCCTGATTTATTAGTTGCTGACCCCACATCTTTGAGTGGATTTAAGTATATAGATAATAGACCATATATACCAGAAAACTATGTATTTAAAAGAATGGAAGATAATCTATTGATTGGGGCTAATGGTGATGTATTTAGAGTTACAGGAAAGGATGATGTTATAAAAAATGAATGAAATTGCATACGAACTTCATAAGCCTGCGAGAAAGAATTTCATTAGAAGGTCTTTTAAAGTATTGGGTATAAACGAAACCTTACAAATAGATTTAATTGATATGCAAAACTATGCTAGAGAAAATTCTGGCAATAAATATATTTTAACTTTAATAGATACATTTTCTAAAAAAGCTTATGCTGCTCCACTAAAGAATAAGACAGGGTTAGTGGTTACAGAAGCCATTAAAACCATTCTACCAAAGGGGGTTAAAAACATTCAATCTGACAATGGAAAAGAATTTTTTAATCAATATTTTAGCAAACTAATGAAGAAATTAAATATTAATCACTATCACACATTTTCTACAACTAAGGCTGCAATTGTAGAGAGGTTCCAGAGAACTTTAAAGAATTGGCTATATAGGGAATTTAGTGCTCAGGGGAGTTATAAATGGTTGGATTTACTTCCAAAGTTAATTCGAAAATATAATAATAAGGTGCATAGATCTATAGGAATGAAGCCTAACCAAGTGAATGTTAAGAATAGTAAATATGTGCATGAGAAGTTGACTTCTAAAGTAGTGCAAGTTAAAAAGCCAAGATATAAGGTAGGTGATAGCGTAAGGATTTCCAAGTATAAACATGTTTTTAGTAAAGGTTATACTCCAAATTGGACAGGGGAACTATTTACAATAGCAGAAGTTAAGAATACAAAGCCTGTAACTTATATCTTGAAAGATGAAAATGGCAATATAATCAGGGGAGGCTTCTATACAGAGGAGTTGTTAAAGACCAAGTATAAGGACATGTATTTGGTAGAGAAGGTAATTAGGAGAAAGGGTAATTCGTTGTATGTCAAATGGCTTGGGTTCCCAAGTAGCCAGAACTCATGGATTTCCACTAAGGATGTCCAAGGGAGCACACCCGCCACCAGGAGCACGCCCGAGTTCGCGTGCCGAGAGCTGGGTCTTTAAAAAAGTGGCCAAAAAAATGAGCCATATTCCAGACGTGTTTTTCAGTATTAAAAAAGTAGAAAATTTATATAGAGGTGTATAGGTCGAGAGCTGGGTCTTTAAAAAAGTGGCCAAAAAAATGAGCCACTAATTTTTCTCATTTTTCCCCTATAAAAAGTGCCCTAAAAGTGCCTCTAAAACGCCGAAAGTGAGGTAAAACCGGTAGTTCACCACTACTCTTGGTAAATAATTTAAAATTTCAACGAACTTCGTAGTGTATTTTTTATTTTTGAGTCGAATAGATATCCCAAGTCCATGATTACACAAAATATGTTTGTACATTATTTTTGATTGTTCATGCAGTAATTACAAAAAATATAAACTTGTTAAATGTAAGTCCTGTAATTATTTCTCAATTCAGAAGAATCTGAAGTCTTTTCTCAGAATTTCTTTTTCCGTCGCCAGAGTAAGGAGATCCCACTGGGCTTTGTACATTGGAACTGGTCGCGGCTCCTCTGAAATGACAATGGAAATAGGAATCAATATTGGTAAAGCTTAATTAAATTTGTAAATCTAGTAAAAAAGATGGTACATCAATTGCCATAGGCGAGTCAGCCCTTCCAAAATATTGGATAATACCTTAAATACCCCCGCCGCAGCAAACCTGCAGACTAAGCGAATTTCCATTTGACTGATTGGATTTACACTGAAATGTCTACTTAAAAATATAACATTTATTCTTGATTTAAATAGGATTAGTTTAACAAGTACTTAGGTTTGCTGCATCAGGGAGGGTAAAACTGTTTTTTTTTTTTTTTGTAAAATGTAACATTTTCCAAATTTGATCAAAATATGTTCACAAACAAGCAAACTACAACAACAGTTTACTTATTCTCCATAAGAATAACATGGGAATTTTAAATTTACAATTTTTTGGAATTTTCTCCGTAACCATTAGGCGCATAATAACGCTTCAATATACTAAATTATTTGTTTTTTTAAGCTCTACAAAATGGTTTGGAAAGAAATTACTAAATTTTATGTTTTTTTGGGTCAAAAATGGGAAAAACCTATTTTTACCCCATAAAACCCCCCGTAAACCCCCGTTCCCATGGTCCGATCATGCTGGATCGCGAACTCGTTCGAATAAACGTACGTTTACACGTTTGTACCAAATTTCATCAAAATCGGATCATTTTTGCTCGAGTTATCGTGCTGACGGACATATATATATATATATATATATATATATATATATGAATTTGAACGGATGGTGTTTTTGGCCTCTAGGGACCTCAAAACGAAAAAAAAATTCGGTCCCGCGTCCAGGTCTTACCATGAGTACTACGGTTATTCCCTATATGGGAAATTCGCTAAAACAAAAACCTTTGAGGTTTACGACACACTACATAGGCCCTACACTATAAGACACTAAAAACACAAAAGTATATTAGTTATTGCTAGATGACAATTACAATGGCCATGCAGAAGCATTTAATATGTACTACAAACTGTATGCTGATCCACAGGAATTCTAGGCCTAGTGTTAAACGCAGTGGATTTAAATTAGGTCCCTAGTTTTTCTTTTACTTCTCCTAATGATGTAAACCTACTTCTAAAGTCGCCGATACACACAATATGTATGTATTGGCCCTGACGTCCTTGGTACTTGTTGTTGTTTGGGGGAATCACTTTCCACCCTCGACCTTCGTAGGCGTTTCCGTCGCTTCCAAGGTAAAAACTAAAAAAAAAAAAACATAATCAAAAGAAACCATTAGAGAAAAATCTACATAATGAAATGACACGGTATATTAATTTTTTAAGGTTAAAACAAGCTTGCTACACGTGTAATTGTACGTGAGTAAAACTCAATTCTTTTACTAAAACACAGATCTAGCTCAAGAGATCATAAATATTTAGTCTCGTGTTTCAAGTAACAAATTATATTAATTTATGGTGGGATTTGCTCATTGTATTATACAAGTAGCTGCACCTCGAACTCTGTTGACTTCCCAGATTACTAAGTAAGCACAACCGAAATTTGGTCTCGTCAATGTCTATCCTAATAAACCAAATACAATGTTTTTTAAAACTATTTCCAAAAACTAAACAGAAGTATCAAATTAATTTGAGAAAGATACATCAAACGCATATTACCTTACTTGTATCTTATGTCTTTAAGGCCTCGTTTCGCCATGTCCATATGTTGTATACGTCTCATCATACGACAACATTCCTCTAAACTTCTGCATTCTTTGGTCCTCGTAGTTAGAGATAGGACAGCAAACCTTAAGGGCAAATCTTTGAACTTTCTTGTACTGATTGTTGGTCTCGCTCCCCATTCTTCTCTGGATATGACCTTTAAGGGAGGAAGATTCGAATCTAAAATGTTCAAAATAATTACTGCTTAGTATCAATTTAAACGAACTTCTCTTTTTTTTAATTCACTATTAATATTGTGATTTTTAATTTTCTTATAAAACCCTAATATATCTTCTTTGTAACATCACATGTAAAAAATCTGTTTCAATCAGTTTGATATGATTATTATAACACAAATAACATTTAATTCAGTTATGAACGTAATTTCTACTTACTGTCATCCATATATCAAAATAATGTCATAGTACACAATTTTGTTCTTGTTTATTTGATTTCAAAACAACCTCACTAATCCATGCATCCTATAGTAACAGCCTATTCGAGTGGAACTTCCAGTGTTTATGTTTCAGAAATGATAATGTTATCTCTATGTTTAATGTAAACCTCTTAAATAATACATTTTATACTGTTTTTTAGTTTTCTTCTATTTCTTCTATATTTTAATAATTTGTTATAACTTGACTTTTATATACATGTCATTTGAATAAAAACTACAATGTAACTAGTGTACTGTAAATATTAAAATAATTATCCTTACAATGCAATGTAATAATGTCAAAAGCAATGATAAAAAAAATAATTATGTATTAGTATTTTTTCTTTAGTTTTGGCATTATGGGCTATATTGTAATTTATTTATTATATTTAATTTTCATGTACATAGAACACGTGTCACAGTTAAATGAATAAATTATAGTTAAATATAACCAAAACCTTCTACGATTTTAGGATTCTATAACATCGATAAAGGCCAAATGAATATATGTGTTTTGTAAAAATTGTTTTTATTTAGTTATACAATGACTGAAAAGTTACTTTGTCTCCTTTTACAATTTTTACCTCCATAAACTGCATGCTATGACTGACGACATTCTTCTTCAGTCCATCCTCCAGCAGGAGTGCAGCTGCCTTTAGCAATGGATTATTTTGAGGATCCGCTAAAGATAAAACAAATTACTAATCAAATATATGCTTTTATGCCTAGAATCCTTTTCCCCGAGATTATTTTAGCATTTTTTCATTGTTTATTTTTATAAACACAACACTATAATTATTTTTATGAGGTGTTCCGCAGTTCGAATTAATTAAAAGTTTGGCAAGTTGAAAGCCAAAAATCTTATCTCAAAACAACCGATCACCAACTCAAGGTTCATCATTTAATTTTTTCCAAAATAAATTAATGTCAAGGTTCTATCACGAATATTAAAGCAGAAACTGTACGGATCATAAATGTAAACAAATTACGTCACTGGCCCGAAAGTAAACACTCACTAACGTATTAAAAATGAAGCTGTCAATCAACGTCCAAAACAGTTTTTATGGCTATTAGTCTATACATACGGGCCAGTTACGTCATTTGTTTATGTTTGTCATGCATACTGTTTCTGTTCTAATATTAAAGGGTTCTCTAGATCTGGTCTGTTTGGTGACGTTGGTATTTTCATCCCTACATATTTAATAGTAGTTTACGCAACAATCACGTGTTAACGACAACAATAGTGTTAACGACACGAGTAGAAGTTTAAGGTACGAGCCTACTTTGTCAACGACAGTGTTATAATTACTAAAACTCGCTACTTGTAACTTCTTTAAAAGAGGTTATGTTTTTTCAAACTCTCATTGCTACTCACAAATCGTCGCACCACTCATTAAAAATTAAATTAATTGCTCTTAACAGCTGATTCGTTGAATTTCGAAGTCTTAACATTTTTCATCTTCTTTTCTCTCAATCCTTCAACCCCATTGGTCTGTTACTCGTGCTGTTAAGTAAAAAAATTCTGTTAAATTAGAATATAAAGCTGTTAAGTGAATCTTTTCAATTTCAATAACAGAACTGAAAAGGCTAGTTTAAAAACGGTCGTAGGTAAAATAAATCATGATGAACTTTCATAACAAGAAAACTATATCAGTCCCCTAAAATTGAAATAATTTATCTACAAATGTTTGGGTTTCATAGTTATTTATTTGGGCTCTTTCCAAAAAGATACAAGTAAAATAAATAAATTATGATTTTTTTACTTACTCTCATAGTCGGCAAAGTAGGTGACTTGGAAGTATTTCCCAATGTTTTCCTTCATTTTCGGTGTGCATTTGTCTCCGAGTGATGGACTAGAGAACCAACCCCTCCCTTCATATACCACTCCTCCCTTTCCTATGAGAAAGCTGTAAGATATTTAAATCCTTGTCAGAATAAATATACCAACTTTTTGTTTAAGACTAAGAAACAAGCTTGTCGTATACAGGTTTAAATAATGTCTTGTTTAGTTTGAAACAAGGTATTTGTAAGTGTTTAGTCACACAGAAGTAAAGTAAGTAGTGTGAGACACTTCAGTAAGGACAGAGTACCTGGAGGTAGACGGTTTTTTAGGATAACACAATTCTTTGTTGATTAACTTTTCTAACTCAGACGGTGCTCTATGCATTTAGCTATGTCAAATTAAAATGGCGCCTCTTCTGTAACTGAAGCATGATTTATGTATACATCCACATGGACGAAAAACTAAAAGACAAACTATAGTTTAAATAGTTGCACAGTCCAATATTGTAAGGCTCACCCAAGAATTTGTTTTATTGTAATTAGAGTTGGTGATATTATTCTAATGTGAAGCTTGTCAATCGAACACGTCAAGTTTTATTTGGAAAAATCATATGCAAGTGGGTCAGATTTACCTTGCATTCATGAAAACGTAATCCTATATGACATCATAGATTAAAAGAAAGTTTGTTCAACTTCAACGGGCTAAAATCTTATGATCTAATGATTTACGCAAAAATGTTAGTGTTTGGGTTTGAATGTAAATATCACCATGCTTAAGCGTATAATATTAAAATATTTGGTTTTACATTACCAATATCAGTTCCAAAAGCTTCTTTTGGAACTGATAAAGGTAATATAAAACCAAATATTTTATATATTACAGTTCCAGGGCTACAACAATGAAGTATAATATTATATCGACTGATAGTATAATATTAGATTTCCTGAATATGAGTGTTGTAATTTTGAATTAATAACATAGTCAAAATATTAAATAGCTTAATTTTTTATTTGTCGTTCAGCACTAAGTCTAGTATATTAACTCAGAGTTATTAAATTGTGGTTATTTATGGTGAGTCGGTGGCTCAGTTGGTAGCGTCGCGGACTTTGGGCACAAGGCAGAAGTGTCGTGGGTTCGGATCCTGGTCACTGCCACAAACTTTTATCAGTACAGTTCACCTTTGTACTGTACCGGCTCACCCCTTGCTTTGCTGGATACGTTCCACGCACAGATCTGTAGTCTATGTGGACGGGCAAATGCAAGGTTAAAAGAGGCCGCCAACCTCTTTAAAAAAAAAAAAAAAAAATTACAATTACGTGTAAAAAAACCTTAAATTCTTTTTATTTTGACTTGGAAATTTGTATGAATTCTGTAGTGTCTCATACCACAAACCTTTCTGGCATTGTTTTTAACAATTGAATAACCTCCAACCTTATCTTTACTAATTACTTGCTTTCTATGTCAGGCATGCCAAGACGGTCCATGTCAAAATTCTGCATCTCCTGAAGGATTTTCTTCTCGTCTTGCTCATCGCTTAATGGTTGTCTGTATGTTATACACATGAATGCGATGGGGATCTCTAGGGGTACCTTGTAGTTAGGCTCCCTGGCACCCCAATAGTTCCGGGGATGCACAACCAACTCAAATGGCTCAGGAGGTCCCGTCACAGGTTTGTAATGCCTTTGCAATTCTTCTAACTCTCTTTGCAAATTTTTTCCGTCCCTTGGATCTGGGTTCATCCTAAATGGTATTTTGCAGTTTTAATATTTCGCAATGAACTTTTTTAATAATTAATAAATATACACAACATAAAAAGCTCAACTTTATTGAAAATGTTTTACTTTGATCGGTTGTGACATTTAAGTTTCTCATCTGAAATATATCATTTTGTTTGGTAAACTAACTGGATTCAAAAAGAATAAAAATTAAATAAATTACGAAGGATTGATACCACTTTGGTGGTAGTATACATTTTGTATGATTGGTTGTTTCTTTGACAGCTTTTACGTCATTTTGGTTTTCTTTAACTCCTGCTATATGCAACGTATATAGCATATACTATATACTAGGTGCATAAAATTAATCCTTGTAAATATTATTTCAGCATAACAATAATACTGCATGGTGATGCACACAGAATGGATTTATGTAATTCCATAGTAGAATATCACATTTGAAATATAATATATTATTTTAATGGTTTAGTTTAGAATCAATGTTGACCTTTTTTCCAAAGATTCTATTTTAATTTAAAAACACTACATTAAACAATCACAATCCCTAACGAACACAAGAAAATTCCTACAAAATATGGTGTAGAAAGTGATTTTAGATTGTACTATTAAAAAAGATGCGTCCATAAAGTAAGTGTTATCATTCCTATTTGTTATCAACAGTGTTACTAAATAAAATAATATAATATTTACAATTAAACATTCGTACCTTTTAATAAAATTTCTTCGTAAGCACTTAAAAATTGGTCGAGTTTTATATCAGCTGAATCAATTTTAGATCCAAAATATACCCTATTAAACCAAAAATCATTTTTAAGTAAAGTAAGTTTCACAATTTAAAGTTACCTCTTACTAGAACTGTGGCTTTTGGCACTTTTTTAATACGTCTTTAGAGGAGTATGTCGAGTTCTTTCTAAGATAGCTAAAAACCACGTGGTGAGTAAAATAAAATAAACATGTTTGTGTAATATGGTAACGATCATTGAGCAATCATATCTGAAACTGCTCGTATCTATTGATAGCATTTTTCATGTCTCCCCATTGTTTTAGTAGATATTTTTGTTTGAACTTTCAACAAATAACTCTCACAGCTACAGTAGAGACTTTTTTGTTAATATTTGTTATCATTGAAAACTGGAATAAAATGTCATAAAACATTAAAATATTTTAAAGCTCATCCCCAAGTTGTTTTCGTGGTTCCTAAATTATATATTCTAGTTGTTTGTTCTTATATCCTTAACCCAATGTTTACTTGATTGACGTCAAAAATACCCTCGCCGCAGCAAAGCTGTCGACTATGCGAATTTCCATCCGCCTGAATTTATTTTTAACTAAATCTATTTAAATAACATTAGATTTAACGAATACCTAGGTTATAACAACATATAACATGGGAATACATTTTTTTGAATTTTTTCTGATACCAATAACCGTACAAAACACTTTGATATACTACGTTATTTGTTTTTTATTTTTAAAACATCTAGAGATAAATTGGGAAATCTTTGTTTTGAGGGTCAAAATGAAAAAAAAAGATTTTAACCCATAAAACCCCGTTCTCATGGTCCGATCATGCTGGTTCGCAAACTCAATCAAGTTTATCCCGTCTTACACCAAGCCGAATTTTATAAAAATCGGAGAAAAATACTCTAGCTATCGCGTTCACTGACACATATATAACTTCATATATATTTCCCTAAAGGGTAATTTGCTAACATTAATACTAGTTAATTTCAGACTTATTGCAATTATGTTTCCCTGAGGTAAATGAGAACAGAATTGTAAAAAAGGTAATATACTTATAAATATTGTACAAACATACACTAAACAAAATAAATAACAGTTTTATGACTTAAATAATAATGTATCCGGATCGTAGTTAACATCACGCGGGCGTTGGTATTATTTCCTCTTCCTCCTTCGGCGGCAGAGAATGACGTTGAGCTGGGTCCAACATGAGCAAACCTTCCTTATCTTGAATAAACTCAAAAGACAAACTGATTTTGTTGCTTTGCATTCCATAGCTTATCAATGTTAATATCTCCTTGAAGAAAGGATCGTCTTGTTTTGCAGGTCCTGGAAAAGTGTGGTTCTGAGTTGATAAAAGAAAATAGCGTTTTCTGGCTTTCAATGGTTATATTACAATAATAATAATATGGCCAATAATCTGCTAGATTAAGTTTTACTGATGGTAAAATATTATTCATATTAAAGTTTAAGTGCTATTTTAATTATTTCATGTTTATGAATTAAAATCAGTATAGACATAAAACAAGAGGGATGGAGCGCTCTAATTTTGAAACTTTAAGTATTATTTCTAGTGTAAAATAGGAATTTTGTCTAACTAAAGGAATAGGTAAATTTTTTTCTAACTAAATTTCAAAATCATAATATGTTGAAATAACATTTGGTTATATATTTAACCATTTTTTCAAACCATAACATACACTTTCAAAACCAAATATTTTCATTTTTAATGTAGATTTAAAACCATACGAATACAGTTTTTTTTATATATTGTTAAAATCACATTTATCCTAAAGTAAGAATATTAATGGTTATGGCACTTCAATTTTAAATCAAAAGTTGTCCTCAATACTTATTTTTATATTAAGTATTTATATGAAGGGATTTTTTATTATTAAGGAAAATTTCATAAAATACTCAGTTGGATTATGATATAAACGTATTTACCTGGCAATCTACCAAGGACGCTAACTTCAAAGAATTTTCCATTATATTTTGCCAGTTTCTCAAACATCCTCGACGGTGCAATATCCCATCCTCGTCCTTCATATAGGGTTCCGTCTATCGTTACTATAAAACTGAAAAACACAGGGAAAATTCGTGATATTAACTACGCCTCATTTAACAGTTGCTACCTAACACAGATGTTTAGAAGGAAGATGTGACTCTATTCACGTTTGTCAACTGTCGATAGACTTCAAGACCGGTTGACGGCTGAGACCACATATCCATATACCTAATAAAATAGTTTTATTATGCTTAGCGGAAGCGATGCAACGTAATTTCTTTAGAATTTCGAACACAATGAAATATATTGTCAAAGGATCGGGAGCCTGCTAGAATAATTGTGGATAAAATAATGAATACGAAGTTGGTTTGGATTTGAACTAGTAGTCTTCATGGCTGCAACTGGACCTTGGTGGAGACCTTAATTTTCAGAGAAGCCTATAACAGACGACTTATATAATACTTGTATCATAAAGATCTGCAACTGTTGATATTTTAATAACATTTCTTGATTTGCATTGCAAAACGAAACTTTCTTAACAATATAAAAGTAGCCTACAATTTGGGCAACCATTTCAAACATTATCTTTCAAAATGATTTTTATTTATTTTATTTTTTGGTAATATTTTTTACTGTAATTTTTAATTTGAGTTAATAAACGAAATATAACTCCTATAGTTATAAACTATCTTAACCATGGCTCACTTGCTCTGTATGTCCCACATGCCCCTCTCTATATGTGCTTGTTGAGTTTGTTTGATAAACTCTTTACTGTGAGGATGTGTAGTGTCGTTATATGATATACAAACGTATGGTACAGGGTGGACCAGTTTCTTCACTCTTATTGGAGGACGAGCTCCCCATTCGTGCCTGGTGATGTATCCACGCTGCTCGAACGTTCTGTAAAATAATAAAATATCTCGTGTTTAAAAGTTGTAACGCCTTAATAATAGAGTTTAGTTTTCATATGATTAACAAAACGCTGAAAAGTTCCTTGTACTATAATGTATAAGCTAAATAGAGGTTCATATGGGTTTATGTGTTTTTCAACATCTTAAAACGCTTGAATAAAAAAAAATGGTTTCACACACTACAGCACGTTGGACTATGCACAGAATGTGCGGTTGTGGCATAGCTACAATTTGTTATTGGTGAAATTTGAACCCGAGACCTCCGAAATCGAATCAATGTCTTCTATCACTAGGCAAGCCTGCTCCCCACCTATTAATACAGTGTTCAACAGAAACAAAATGAAATCACAAGCTAATATAATGTTATATACCCTTAGTAAATTCGTTTTATATACCCATGCAGTTCAAATGAGTTTCCTTTGTAAATACTCAAACCCTTACTTAGGTTGTATAATTTAACATCAATAAAGAGTAACAATAAATAAACTAAAACTAACTAAGTAACTTGTTGCTCAAAATATGAATTTAACTAAAAGCACTAGTCACCTTAAAATTAAGGTCGAGGTGATTTAACTTCAAAACAAATGTTAAAAATATACAATTTTGAAAGAACAAACAATACTAATACAGTACGATTCTCTAGCATAAACGTTGTAAAACAGTTGTAAAAAACGTCACCACATGACCCAAATCTTAAGTTTTCATAAATGTTGTCAACCACACATCATTAAAACACAAAAGAGAAAATACTTACTCATTTATGGGGTGGTTGGTTAAATCGGATTCTTCATTAGGATTCATGCCAGTGTTTTATTTAAATATTCAATTAGTTATTATTTCACTCCAAAACAAAATATAAAAATTGAAGAAAATTCCCCAACATTATAAATAGTAAAAATTACGAAATTACAAATCTACTCAAACTTCAATTTCTGGCCATATGTTAGTCAGTCAAATGAAGTAAAAACGCATTTATAACACTCTTCTCACATTCACTCAACTCTAGGCGTTACTATAACAAAATATGTGTTGAAATTAATTGCTCCGTATCTGTAATAGGTATCATTATTTATCAAGTAACGGCTTCATAATTTAAAACATAAGGCTCCATCTCTATGCAGCTGGTTTATTAGATACAATCGTGGGTGTTTTGGTGACAATTTTCATCTAAAAATCTATTGTTTATTAAACTAAATACATTCCTGTGACAGCTCTGCTGGTACAAAAGTTAGTACATCTGTCTGTAATATTGGATATAGTTAAACGTTGATTTTAAACCGAACATTTTAAACGACTTCTGATCTAACTGATTGAAAACTCACAGAGGTCATATGATAATAATAATCCGTGGTTTTTTATGTTAGTGTAAATATTTAATTTTTATAGTTTTAGGACTATCTATTCTAATATTTCTGGTAGGTACATAAAAACTGTTTGCTGTTAGGAGCACTGTATTCAATGTTAGACACTTGGGTTTTACATTTAGTAGGTACTGAAGAGGTCTATATAATAAAAAGTGTACATTTTTCTTGTAAAAAAATATTTATAATTTAAATATATATACATTGTTAGCTGGAAGATGAGAAACATATACTATTAAAACAAGTGTTATTCATTTTCATAGTATTTGTTCCATATTTCGTTTATAACCTAGCTTATTCAATATATTTTGATAAATATACTTAATATTTTTCGTGATATTGTTTCAGTCAAAAACACCCACCCGTCACAAAATACATACAGATAACATTACTGCTTGAGTCCACTTTGAAGTCCTATGCTTCTTAAGCTTCTTCATTACACTTCATTCGTTCATTAAACTGCTTAGGGAAATTATTCCCGATCATGTAAAAGTTTTCGTCCAAATATCTGTTGTCGACTCCAAACTGTAGTAATTCCAGCATTGCTATTAAGGATGGGTCGTCCCCGGGCTTACCTAAATAAATTAGTAATTTAAAAAATAATATAACCACTCGTGTTCAAAAAGTACGACCTAAATGGACCGTAAGTAACATTACTAAAAATATCACAAATGAGGAATAAAAAAACTTGATGTTTTTGTTTTGAAGAATATACTTTACAAAATGCTTAACGAAAAAATTATGTTCGAACTTATACTATTACAGAAAATAATATTGTACGTAAAAGTGTTTTCGTCACTAAATATTCGTTATTCTTTTACACACGAGTGCTTGTACTTGTTTTATTTATTACTTAATGTTACGACCTTCAAATAAAGAGAAAAACTAGTTTCAATATTACTATGTTGAGTCGAAACTAGTTGCCATAATACAACATCAAAGATCACATAAATGCAGGTGCTTATACCAATTTATAGTATTTAAATGTGATCAGGAGGTTACATTTAAATAAAATTACGTATTATTTTGGGCAGAATTTCTGTGATGTGTTTCTAACATTATTATAGATTAAATGTCCTAATATTCCAATTTGGCAATGTAATAAAGGTTCTAAAGTAATCAATCATCATACAATAAAATTATAAAAGTGATTTCTTTATAAGAGAGGTTGTTTACCTTTGTACCAAAACACGAAGCGAACTCATTATAGTAAAAGTGTTGACAACAGTTTGTTGTTAGGCAGACACAAACTTACTAGTTATTTCCATTGTTAGCTAAATGGTAACAATATAGAGTGTAAATCACAAATCACAATTTTCTAATTCACCTTTTACTCGTCCAATAAACGCGATGTCCAAATAGTTCCCTCCATTTGTACTGTCTCGTTCCTCAGGCTGGTTGAACCAACCTCTTCCTTCATATATAGTTCCATCTCTCCCAATCACAAAGCTATAAAACCACTTTACTTTAAACAAAAACAATATCTGAGAGCAGATACAGCATTTCCACCCTTTTTCAATTGCAATCTTTACACAACCTTTTCAAAGATGTGTTAGATAAACTTGTCTTGAGGAAGGAGCTATTTTGCAATGATATATATTTACTAAGTATGTATAGGCCTATAAGGATAACAAGAATTACCAATTGAAAAATGCGTACAGTACGAGGAAAAAAACTATGAAGAAAAACGCAAGTAAAATTGACCTCAATTCGTTGTTTTTCAACTTTTCGACTATCCTTATCACGAGTTAAGTTATTTTACCATAAGTTATCGTTAATAATATTAACATTAAGGTAACAACTAATTTAGTGAATCTTAGCAAGGGAGATCCTTATAGCAAGAAGTTTACTAAAGAAACACATCCAGGCCTACTTAGTAACTATGAGAACCAAATTTAGATATGTTCTTTGTGCTTAAAGAGGGGTCTGACTTAGGGGAGGTACGAATGAGGCATTAGTTCAAAATTCCTCCGTGAACAGCGCTGTAGTAGAGATCACTTTGGCAATGAAGATTTACTAATCGCAAAAATAGTTCTGTTCATAAAGTAAAATTATAAATGCCTCAAATTCAATTTTATTATTTTTTAATTATAAAATTAAACTATCATAACCTAACCAAACTAACCAAACTTGCTGATAATTAAATAATATAACAAAAATTTAGTAATAGAAAAATTAATTCTGTTTATTAAATAAAACTAGAAATTGCTCAATTAAAATTTTGCAATGACTTAATAATAAAATTAAACTGTCATAAACGAACCAAACCAACCAAACTTGCTGATAATAAAAAAAACTTGGACAAAAAGTTTATGCTACCAACGGGATTCGAACCCGGGACCTTCAGCATATCAATCCGGCACGCTAACCATTAGACCATCGAGGCCGATGGCTATGAATCGTTTTGTTACGGTAATGGTGTTTCCTCAGCTAATAAGAAGTCCACAGCTGTCATCGTAGCCTCTTCTATACCTCCCCTGAGTAAATACCGCTTAAAGAGCTGTATAACTTTGCTATATATATATCATTTTTACTTTAATAAACAAACTAATTTATAAAATACAAAAAAACGTTGTACCATTTTGAACTATCTACAGAAACACATTAACGGGATTGTATAGTGTTTGCAATAATAATGTAGATTTCTCACCTACATTCAATATCATCAAAACCTTTGACGTCCATATGGAGTTGTTGTGCCTTCTTTACTATCTGCATGTCCACCAAATCTCTGACTTCTATATAAGAGAAAATCGCCTCTAAGATGGGGTGGATCATTGGAGTAGTTCTTTTTGGAGCTAAAGCACCCCATTCTTTTCTCTCAAGAATCTTTAAGGTTGACATTAAAATCCGTACAAAATATGAGTTTATCCTAAACTTTCAACATTTTATAAGTATTCTGTTGAAGTAAAAGTAAAATGTGTATCTGTTTTGTAAACATAGTCTTAAAGGTCTATGAATATGACAATAACTGACAATATTGTTGAATGAAGTTTAGATAAAAGAATATTACCATGTTATCGGTGATAGTAGTTTGATAAAAGTAAAAGATAATGGATGCATAGGAACCAACACACGAGATGTTTTAAACCCCCGTTTATTTACAATAATTACAAGTTTAACATCAGATGAAATTAAACCTTATCTGAGTCTATGATCAAAAAACATAGAGATATAACGACAGTATATACAAATGCAGGTTATGTATAACTTATTTCAGGTGAATATTGCTTTCTGTCAAATAAGTTGGATGTGGTTTTTAGTCACTTTGATAAAGTTTGAAAATTAATATTTATCTGATTATAGCTATGCTTCATTACATTATTCAATCAAATTGATTAAAAATATTTATAAATGACAATATTGAAAATATTGCTTTTTATCTCGTGACATCTACCTCTATGCTTATCAAATAGTAAAGTGAAATACTAATGCATGCAAAATTAAATTTAGAATTTATATTTACATACAAAATATATTTATTCATCAAGGATGCATCGTACTCAACCAGATCAGAAGATATAGCGTTTACTCTGGACTTGGAATCTCTTCGAATTCGTTCATGAACATATCCGGTGAATTGTCATCATCTTCGTTGCAGTCTCCATCCTTATTTTCACTTATTAATAGATAATGTTCATCCAAGAACCTTTTTTCACTTGCAAAGTCCAACAGTTTAGTCAATGCTATTAACGGAGGGTGTTCCTCAATGGATTTTCCTGCAAAATTCCTTAGTCACTAACAATACTACAAGATCACGCCACTCATCCTACATTCATGTCCATTCATACTTTGCTTATAATACCTACATTTGTATGGTCACCATTTTAGATTTAAGTATTTAAGTATTTGTGATATTGAACTCTTGTAATATCTCCCTTTATTTTTCATGCAGAAGCAAGTATTCCAAATAAAATAAATAAGTAAAATGTTGAAAATGACAGACCATAAAATTATATTATTTTTCTGTAAGACAATTGGTCCTAATTCCTTTTTTTATTAGACAATATTCCTTCTAATAACAGCCCTCTAAACACGATCATGATGAAAATAATAACCAAAAGTTATTTTTGCAGCAGGCAAAGAATGACGTATGAACTATTTTTGTGTATAAAACAGTTTAAGATATACAAACACGTGTTAATGCATAATGCACTAATACTATGGTTTAGTCTTTAATAATCGAAAGCTCATACCTTTTACATCTCCAATAAACCCGATGTCTAGGTAGTTACCTCCTTCCACTTCTCTTTTCTCTGGTTGACAAAACCACCCCCTCCCTTCGTATACTGTGCCATCCTGACCAATCACGAAGCTGTAAAAGGTTTCCCATGAATTCCCCAAGTACTGATGATATTTAATATATTTCTCATTGTCACTTAAAATTCACCAGACACTCTCTGCCAAAGATAAATGTAAATATGAATTTTAAGGTTAAAATACTTAAATACATTAAAAATCTGGTGTCACGAAATCCCTTGTACAGAGTTTTGTGACAAATGGTAGACGTGTCAAATATAAGTAGTAGAGACAACTTATAGATATGAATATGATAAATTTCGTGAATATTATATACTGTATAAATACAGCTCACTTCACGAACAAGTAGATACTGTTTGCATTGAAGTGGCTGTGTTCAAATCCACTACTCATCGCTATTCGCTAACGTGGTAAGGAAATGGCTTTCATATCCATTATACAATCCCATACAAATAAAACAGTCGTGTATATGGTTCCTTAACCATACGAAACCCATTAGCTTAGGGACATTCTAAAATTAATAGAATACTATTTGGCTTACAGAAAGAACATTTTAATACCCACCTTAAAACAATCTGTGGTTTAGATTATTTTACCAGCAGAAATCACAATAAGTCCGATAATATTTGTAACACGTAACGTTAAGTATCATTCAACAAAAAAAATGTAAGGGTTTTTTTATGGTTCACTCCATCTATTTTTTATTGAAATGTTCGACTATGTATAAAACATGTTAAATGTTTGATGGAATAATGTCTATTTCTTATTACGTCTGCGTTTTATGGTTACATATATAAAGTGAAATTTCAATACATTAGAAAAGATTTACAATATCATACAGATGTGTAGGTTACAATATCATATAAAAACTAATTGCTTAAGTATAGAGCAATTGGAAACAAATGTATAAAATGTAAAATGTACAAATGTATGTATGTATAATTAGTCATCATTAAACCTAGGCTTACCTACAATCAATATCGTCATGATCATGACTATCCATGTGAAGTCTTTGAACTCTTTTAAGTATTTCCATATCAAAAATATCCGTAGGATCAATAATAGAGAAGGCGATTAACATGATAGGGTGCTCCATCGGGATAGACTTTCTAGCGGGGATCGCTCCCCACGTTTTCCTAGGGATGATATTTAAAGGCATTTTATAACCACTCAAAAATAATTCGACTTAGAAGTTTTAGGCCTACATATCACAAACGATTTAATCTCTCACAAAGTGTTTCTTAAAGGTGTTAAGATGTATTAGGTATCAAAATAGTAATCGAAGGGTAAATGAATGATATAATAGTCATAACAAAGATAAAATATAATTTTTATGTAAATAGATAGTCTCGACCAACCTTCAAAGTATTGTAGATAGTACCAATCTGTGATATTTGTATTGGACTAGATAAACTGTTAGTTCTAAATTTAAGATTTTTGGAAGTGTATAAGTTAAGTAAAACGCTTATCGTTGTTTTTGGATACTGCATGTATACACCTTGGTTAAGGCACATGATACCGTGTTGGGATTATTTTTTAATGAAAACATATAGTGGAAGCACTACCTACATTAAAAAATTTATTATTTAGTTTTTTCTTCTGGTAATAATAATAAATAAATTATAAATATTAGCAAACATTTAAAATATGATGGACTAAAAAAATTATTAATCTTATTCAAAAGAAAGTGTTTAGTATTTGACCTTTGTGTTTACCAAGTAAGCATATTTTAGCGAATCATCCTCAAGGTAACTATTGCCGTAACTGGCAGGTAAAACCAAGACCCGAGACCAATATAGTTTTTCATTTAATGTCCTTTGAGGCCAAAAACACTGTTCGTTCAAATTTGTATACATGTACGACCGTGAATGCGATTACTTTAGTAATTTTTGTCCGTTTTTGATAAAATTCGGCTTGAAAATGTAGGGCGGTAAAACTTGAATAAGTTCGCGAACTAGCATTTAAACATGGTTTATGAAGTAAAAATTGGATGTTCCTAATTTTCACCCTTAAAACATAAAATTTTAAAAAGATAAAAAACAAATAATTCTATAGGTCTGTTGAAGTGTTTTTACGGCTATTGGTTACGGAAATTTAAAATTTCCATGTTGTTTTTTATGGAGAATAAATATACTGTTTTAGTTTTCTTGTATATAGATAAATGTTGAACAAACTTGGTACATTTATGTTACACATTATTTTATACAAAGCTATAAATTTGTTTATAAAGACTCAATTTACACAGGTCAAGTGTAAGAAAGGGCCATATGGCCTTAACTTTTGCCTGTCTAAATGAATAATTTCTCATTTAATTTATATTTATTACCCTCCCTGTGGCAGCAAACCTAGGTACTTGTTAAACCTAATGCTATTTAAATAGATGTTATTGAAAATCCAATTAGACAAATGGAAATTCGCTTAGTTTTGCAGGGTTGCATAGAGTATTTGTAAATGCAAAAGCATTCCTACAATTTATATTGTACAACATAATATTAAAATATTGCAAAGCGCTTTAAATAAATAGCCTTGCAGTGTGTAAACATAAATTTTATATTTTATAAAATACTCTTGATTATTTTAAAATACCGTCTATTGAGTTCCAATCACTCTCAAATTCAATAAATGATGAGGAAAGACAACTTTAGGAATAGCTTTAAGGAGATATACACTAGAACGACAATTTTGCTAATAACTAACATCCAGTATACCATTTTTCCATACCATTAATAATATACATCTCTCACCTGACATATTACACTTCTCGTTAAATGATTTTCTTTCTTTGTAGGTTACAACAAGAGCAAAAGTATGTTTTTTGTTTATTTTAAACACGTAGCTTATAACTTAATTTCTTAAAAACCAGTTTTTCATAAAAATCATAAATAGTTCTAAAACAAACCCAGATGCTCTGAAATGTAACATTAATATTGGTAACATTTCGTTTCATTAAGTATCTTCTTGAATTAGGTATGTGTTGAATCTAGTAGTCCCATTTTTCTCTGCTTCTTCTGCCAAAAGAGTCATTACGTAAAATCTATTGTTGTTCCTCTGCGTCACTGAAAATAAAGAGTTATTACATAAATATGCAATTGTTCTCCTTAGTTAAAATGTAGCTAGCTTAGAGACAAAACAAATAAGTATTCAACATTTGAAGTAAATTTTAAAAGTCTAGGGACCACTGAAGTTGTAATAAAATTTTCAGCTACAGCGATGTTCAGATACTGCTAATGCTAAAGGTGTGACATTATTTCAAGTAAAATACTCCTCATCAAAATTAGTTTCAAAAGAGAGTAATATACCCTTGAGAAAGTAAGAGATTAATATACTGTGGACTAATGTTTTAAAGTATACACTATTCTTTAAATGAGTAAGTAGGTTTTTAGTTAGCTTTTTGTATGTTTTCCATTATGTTAAATATCGTACTTATGGAGTATTCAACTATAAAAGAAGACCTATTTGTTTTTGCAAATCGGTTTAAAATAAAGAAAATGTATTTTCTCTTTTCCTTATTCAGTTCATAGGTAAACGTGAAAAGATAAAGCAGCGTCCATGTTTATGACCTATTATAGGGTTTAGTTTTCACTTAGCTTAAAGGAACACTACTGATCCAGCAGTTAGTGTAGTGGAATCCTGAACTTCGAGGGTGACTTTAAATCCCACAACTACACTAGACACAAAGTTCTATGCGATTGTGTCATAATATTTCTATGCAACCAGCCATAATTGCCAACATAGGCCAAAATGTTGGACCAACCTATCAAGTTGAAACAATAAATATGTTTTTTTAGAAGATAATATATATTTATATAAATATATGTATTAAAAAATTAACTCCTTCCAACAAAAGAGATGAGGTGATTTAATAACCGCTTATGAAGCAGAAATTTAAATTCTATGGTTTTGGTCCTGCTTACCCCTGTGATTTCCGATCATGCAAACCTCTAGGTACCTGCCCCAAACTTCAGATAGTATTAGATCTTTCGGAGGCATTTTGTCGTATCCTCTACCCTCATAAATGTTCAAATCACCTCCTACTAAAAAGCTGAAAAGAAATATTTGTTAGTCATGACTAAACTGAAAATAAGAAATAGCATCCGAAGCAAACATGAAGTATGAAATTTAATGAATGCAAACAAAACACTGAATTAAAAATAAAATTGCATTACGCTTCTGCCTGCGTTTTGGTTGAGTCGAGTGTTTATTTACTTTCCTTTATACATTTACCGACTGAATAATTGAATTATGTAACTATGCATACCTAATATTTAGAGGTACAAACAGGTATGTTTACAAAAACTTGAGTACCTCACTTAATTCAAGGCTGTTGATTTCAAGCAGCTCATGTTAGGTAAATATATTTTTTACTGCTATTTTCATATTGTGATGTTATTAAGTGATTTTCTGAGTGTTGGTCCAAAACTCAAAACTCAACACAACACCTTACATATTATCAATGTTGTATAATGTTGTTCTTAAAAAAAAAATACCTCCATGTAAATTAGTAGGATTTCTAATATTACTATAGGGAAATATGTCTTTTGCTATGGTAGGATGTATGGAAAAACTAAAATATTTAAACCTAGCACAAAACTGCCTCCTAAATCGTAAGTTTTTCTGTTTATTTTCGCTGAACTTACTTAAAACGGATGTCATCCAATCCTTCTTTGAAGTTTCTTTGCTGGATTTCCCGCACTGTTTTAATACACTCCTCCTTAGTATCACATTCTGGTGTATCTGAATAAAGCCACAGGCGAATACAGATGCACGGTTTTCTTAAGTTTTCCAATTCTAGTTTTGGGGGTTCGCCCCCCCATTCCTGTCTAGAGATTATGTTGAGTAGAGGGGGGTTACGATCAACTTCCATTTGTACTGAAAATTGTCTCTGTATAATATTTATATCATATTAAGTTTTTAAAGCAAATATTTCAATATTGTTTTCTTTTGAATTCTTCAAGGCCTTAAAGCACTTAAGGCAAACAATATTATTATTTTTTTTAGGAGCTGAATCGTCATTAAAAATACTTGAATTATGAAAGCTATTAACAAGATGTACTGAAAAAAACTAACATTTTTAAATTCAATGATTAAATTAACTGAATATATTTACTTGTTTGACATTACAGAGTTTTTATATACTAACTCAATAACTCTTGTTTTTCATATAATAACAATACTTCAACAACAACTGTGAAATTTAACATCCATTGCAATATAGATAGTTTACTCCTAATCAACATAATAAGTATTTATTTTTACCTCGGACCAACTATATATGTCTTACTTTCTCTATACCGTTTCTAATAAATGGCTAAAAAAGTTATAAATTAAATAAACAAAAATTATATGATTAATAATGGCTTAATACATTTCCTATACGAAGGGAACCAAAAATACAAAATCTTTGAATAATTTTATTCCTTTTTATAAACAGTATATTATGAGACTGAATTAAATAACAATATACATTAGTAATAAGAAATACATTAATACATGTTTCACTAATATATATTTAAAGAGCATTTCTTACCTGATTAATTTTTTAGCACTTAGCTTTAATAATCTTGATTCACTTGTCACTTCAATCACATTTAAGAGTTAAAATGCAAGATAATAACCCAAATCAGGCCTACGATTTGAAGAACTAATACATAAAAACCATCCATAACACTTTATTCTATTTCTCGAGAACTTTTAACGTTTGTGTCGCTTTTTTGCCTTTTTTTACATCCCTTAATTTCAATGGTAAAATTTTCGCAAGAATTATTATACTTAACAACTGGAAAATCAACCAAAATATTTGACTCATTTAGCAATATGAATAAAAAAGTCGACTCTGCCTACGGCTACTCAAACAAGTTTGCTTTTTCAAAAGATAAATTTAGATTGTGATATGGTTGTTGATAAGGTCATATAAAAATAATTTCATATTTTTGTCTGTATTATTAATTGTTATCCCTATCAGATGTTCATGTGATACACATATAAAGCGTATCAGTAGTAGTGTAGGTCAGATGACTTCTGGCCATGCAGCGTTTTTTCTTGGCCATTTTCACAAACCATTGCTTTTATTTTATCCCAATTCCTCGCAGTATACGTCATTTCTCTTTCCATGTGCATTTTAGTTTCTTGGATATTAGATTGTTTTTCTGACCATAATCGACAAGAATGTGCCCTGATTCGAACTGAAGCTGCATCCTGTATGCGTTATCTGGAAAAAATACAAATATCCAATTTAAGTAACTACACATTTTTTGGTCAAATTTAATTTATGCATTTTTCCATATTTCAATGATTCCACTAAAATATTTATGTAAGACTTGCACAAATTTAATTTTAAAGTTTTTGATGCTGATATTAATCACGATTTTTAATATCCATTTATAATTCTTATCCACAATAGATTTGAACAGGCCTGTTTGACTTTTTAAATAAATGACAATCGCAAATCTGGATAAATAATTTTTAAAATATTTGGTTTTACAATACCTTTATCAGTTCCAAAATAATGTTTAAGCAAGTTCAGTAAAACCACTATTAGTCTTCCAAAGAGATCGTTATCTCACTTATAAACCTTCAATACAATTTTTTTTTTTTATTCTAGTAAGTTACTATACACATATTGAAGTTGAGTTCTTACTTTAAGGGCATACGTAGGCCTTAAAAATAATTTCTATCACTCGTCCTATTCCTAGTTAGTTCATGATTTATACACAGTATGCTAAATATCGAGCACTATGGTATCTTATTGAAAACATCGCAATACGACCTTACATATATTGCAAATAACTTTAAGTTATACTTACATAGCTTGGATTTTAACCTGATGTCCCCTATGAACCCTATCTCCAAGTGGTTTTCGGTGTTATACTCATACGTAGGGTCGTCTGGTGGCTTAGAATTCCACCCTCTGCCTTCATATATAGAACCATCTCCTCCTATAAGGAAACTAAACAAATTTTATTTTTCAATAATGTCACCAACAAAAAATATTTACAGGTGTATCCAAGTACTTTACATAGTATCTGAAACATAGTTACTACTGTGCGCTTTGTTTTATATTGTTTTTTATTCGTTTCTAGCAAGCAAAGTGATAGATTTGGAAATAAATAGGTTCAGAATGATAATATTCAGATCAAAGGAAATTCGACAACCACTGTTTCAGGAGCTTTATAAAGTTTACCACCTAGGGGGCATCCCCACCTCAATAATTTGTTATATGGTAGTTGATAATTCTTTATTACATTTTAAATAACTATTACCATTAAATTTAAGGGACGTAAAAACTTTTAAAATGTGACGTTTACGAGATTTTGAGTTTTTAGAATTTTAATTGGTATCATGCTATTTGTTCTTAAGTGTGTACATCATTTTAGCGTTTTATTTTAATGATTGTGATTGTTTTTCTAATTACACCTATAAAGATATAGATCACTGATCTTATTTAAGATTTTTCTTTCAAGACTCTTGAATCTGATAATAGACCTAACGTGTTTTCAACACACTACGATGTTTTCATCAGTTTTACAAACGTTTATTGGAGGCCGAAAGCTACGTATTGCTGTCCATGCCAGCTTTCATCGTCGATTAGGGACCGAGTAGTTTTGTACATCCCTAGGGATGAAAACCAGTCGTTTGCTTATTTACTTAATCATTGTTTATTACATACACAAGCAGTATCCATGTGTATTGCAGTACACTTGTTTTATTGTCACCACTGGTTGGTCAACTATTTATTGTAATTTTTATTGATTCGTCAAAAATCACATAACCATAAGTTTTAGCTGAGTTGGCTGTTATAATTGATTATTATTGTGGTGAATAGTAGTAATAGGGTAAAGTGTGATGAAAAATAGCGTTCTTACCACGGACCGTAGTGGTTTTGCAGCACTCCGATCGTTTTAAGTTCTCGAGCCAAAAAAACATAATTTCCGGCCCTAGTTTCAAAATATTCTATTATGCTATTCTGACTACTAAAAATGTAGGTACATACTTGAAGCGAATATCGCCGAAACCAACACTCATATGCCGCTCTTGCAAATCTTGTAGAATAAAGTTACATTCGTGTTTCTTCCTGCAAGAATCCGTGTTCGTGAATTTCCAATAACGTATGAAAGATATCGGTGTTTCCATTGGCTCTGGCTGTTTCGACTGAGGTACAGCATTCCATTCCGACCTCGGCACAAGCAGGGATTCAAACGAGTCGAAGGGCTCTTTTCTTCTGCATTTACTGAAATATAGAGGGAAAATTAAAATCATTCGTGCCAACTCGTGATGATATCGGTCTTAAAAACATAAATTATAAATGATATCATGATATTTTAAAAAAATAAAGCATCCATTGTTTAAATGCCCCCTTAAAGTATGCATAGCTTTCTAAGTTAAATTTAAGAGGACTAAATGGGGTTTCAAAGTAAAATACTTACACAGTGTTTAGATTGCATTTAGCTAAGTAATAGCATTTGACACATAAACCTTTTCAGGTTTTTTCTTGATTATTTATAAAACCAACTAAGACCTGGGAAAGTAAATTTTATTTTCTATCATTATGACTTTATGACTAGGGTCCGAGCCCAATAAAACTTACTTTTACTAATATATACGCACACATTCATTGGTGAAAAGTTAGTAAAAAGTTGTATAATAAATTATTAATAGGGCATATACAAAGACAAGAACATGTCCAATACCTAGAATTGTATTAAGTTCAAGAAAACAAAATTATTACTTACGCCATTTGTCTGTTTAAAATGACTAAGGGTTCTTTATGATGCGGAAATGATACGCCATGCTCAAGCGAGTCGTTTATAGTACCTTCTGCGTTCTTCCACGTCATTTTTTTCTTCATTTTGCAAGTTTTGTAGATGAATTTATAACCTAGTTTAGTTTCTTATTTTGAAATAAATTAGCTTTAGTAACTTTTTATCAAAACTTTGCGTTCCCTTAAGACATAGGCTATGTTTGTTTTCTTAACACTAAAGCTCAGTGAAATTCCCCTTACTTAATTCACATCCAGCAAAAATTTTAGCAATGGAGTTGTTTGATTGTGCATGACCGTAGAGTGATAACTTACTATCACAGTGATTAAGATTATTTGAACTATTTGTTTATGTGGACTGACTTTTTTACATCACGGGACAACATTCGTTATTGTAGACTACTTATTTAAATATACCAAAACCATTCTAGTAAAAGTAAACATTTTGATGAAAATTACTGTTGTGTTTATTTTATTTTATTTTTTTCAGAAATAATTATTGGTAAATAGTAATGTTTTCATGAAAGCCCACTTTAGGCTTTTTAGATGACGTAATAAATAATATAAATACTATAAATTAACAAAGCTATAAACAAATTTCGTACCTATATGTTAGCGATAAATTGTTTATCTAAGTAACCGGGGCTTTTGTGTAAGAACTACGGATTAAAACATAAGCAAATTCTACATACTGTATTTTTTGTTCCAATAAATTTCTTTTCTTTAAATGTTTGGATTTGTAAGAGATTTTTCCACGTATGATCCATCATATAAGCAACTGATGTGTTGGGATGATGTGTTTAAATGTGCAAATAAATCGATAAAGCTATAAATTTTCACCTTAATATCTCAAGGAAAATGGCAAAAGTACAAGAATTTATTTCAGTAATGCCATGTTACAAATTACATGTAAATAAATAAATAATAATAAATAAATTTTCTCATGGAGGAAAAAAGTCATGAACCTTTATTGAATCGATCTCATTAATATATGAATACCGTACACAAAAACCTATTTAGTAGTCAAATAACTTTTAACCATAAAATTACATCAATTTATAAAATCTAATCGCGAGCTAGTGTCACTTTGACCTTTCAGTACAAAAATACAAATTATTTTACCTACAAATGTCTGTAGATTATTATGATGCCTCAACTCCCCGAAGAAAATTAGTAAAAAAATTTCAACGTATTAAGTCTTTGTTCAAGAGTTTAATATAGTGTTAACTGATTTCTTTTTGCGTTTCGTCTCCATTTTGGTCTGTCAGAAGCCCTAAAGCTCTTGATGTCAATTCCTTCGTAGTCGTATCTATATTTTGAGCCTCTTGGCCCCATTCTACTTGGTAGTATTCCTTGTCTATATATTTCATTTTGCATCCGTGATCCAACAGCGTAAACATAGATTGGTACATAACTTCAGTTTTTCCTGGAACATAAAAAAAGATACTTTAAACTACCTAATCTGTACTTTTATGACTTAAACCTATTGCATTTTTGACGTATTGACCTTTTGAAAGAGGAAAAGCCAATTTCTACATTGCATACAAGACAATAATGTACTACAACTTACTATTGCGTGTGTTTATATGATGATACTTTCTAAAATATAACGTAAAATAGATTTTTTATAAGAGTGTAAAAGACAAATTTCTGTAGAAACCCCATATTTCACCACAATTCAGGAAGGGGTTATTTGTGTAACGGTAAGTCTTTATAATTGGTAGTGTAATTACGATGAAAATTACACGGGTATACTTCTATTCAATTGGCAATTAATTATAGTACTTTAATAATAAACATAAATGGCAAAATAAAATCACGAGAGAAAATCTTTTCCATTACGAACAATTTAGGTAACATTCATTGTCTAAAAAAACGCCTTGTGACGAAAAATTCATTGTTTTCTAGTATTTCCAATAATAAAATGAAGAGATTAGTGTTCTGTTTAAGAAGCAAAAATAGCATAGAGAAAATAATTACACTAAATTGGGTTCCCATGTCCACATTACGTTGGGGTCTATTATTTTCATTGTTCTACCAAAATCCAACAATCTAAAGGCGGCTTTGTAATAGACCTGGTTATCATACTCAACGTCTGCAACAAAATAGAGAAATAAATTAAACACTGATTGAACATTTTCCAGCGTAGTATTTCACCGCTAGAGAGAATCTCTTTATAATTAATTTCAAACGCCTGTTTGACAAGATGTATATTTTGTGAAGTGGCATGCTAAGAGGCTACAGCCCTGAACGAGCTAACCTGTACCTACGTGTAGGGCCTGTGCCGTAAACCGTATAACAATTTTAGTAGGTGCTTGGTGATTTAAGTCTAATATAGTTAATCTCCCTGACCACCAGTGATTTTTACCAGTCAATAACATGATTCTTAGTTTTGTTAATGTATTTGTCACAGTGCTGTAAATATGACAGAAGGGTCTTAGAATTAAAAAAAAATTGACTTAGAAATATTCTGTTGCAAAAGTGTTAGTAACAAATTTTTGGGGGAATTCATACTGTTATGAATGTCGCATTGTCCTAATTTTATTGCTTAAAACCTAGACTGACGCGTATTTTTACTTTTAATAGGCTATAAATACCCTATGTCATCAACTTTTACCCTTTTAGCCCTTTGTCTTATGCATTTACCTTATGTGTTACCCTTAACTTAAAATTAAACACTTTAAAAATCAACGAGGGGAGCATAGAAGCGTGCTAACAATGGTTTTTGAACAAGCGAACCTCATTATTTTACAAATACGAGAATAATGTAGTTTTGAAATATTTCTAGAGGTATTTTACAATTTCATCCATACCAACCTACTGCTGTATTAAAAACAAAAGCAGTAAGCTGGAGAAATCACAACATTAAATAAAATCACAATGTGTTTTTGGTGTGCTCCAATGATGGGATTTGTGTTTTCACCTATCACCGGTTTATTTTGTTCACTACAATATCCTTTTAATTTGACTTAAGCATTTATTCCAACAGCCATCATTAGATATTTATGAATGACTAAAAATACCATGAAAGTCGCATACTTCTCTCGTCCCCAATAAAAGCCACGTCCATGTATCTCTCTTTGTCATGTTTGTATCTAGTATCTGTTGGAGCTTTGTAGTCCCATCCTCGTCCTTCATATATTTTTCCGTCTCCACCTAGTAAGAAGCTGTAAAAATATTTTCAAACATTTTTATCTAGTAGGTAATGTAGTTAGAAAATGTATTTTTGTCATGCCTTAGCTAAAGTGGCTATCAATACATGTTTGCAAAATTAACTCTTTTCTTTCTATGGAAAAACAGGATCAGTAAGAGTTGAGGGAATCAGCTATAAATGTTAAAAAATCCGTCTGCTGATTTTTCAAATAAAATAGTCCTAAAAATATACTAGGATCCATCGTAGCATATATCGAATCATGCGAATTCGTTTGTGTTTATTATTTTGTAATATTATACTGTATACCTCACTACAAGTGTAATTTATACAAAAGTATTAAAATGTTAAGGAATTTCAGCAATGGTATATGAGTTTGTTATTGTGTTGGTGACGTGTTAATGTAGCATGTATCATGTAAATAAATAACTGTAATAACTGTTTATATACAATAGGAAAATAAGAAAACAGCTGCTTTGATAGCTAAACTTAGAAAGGTAAAAAAGTAGAAAGTTTATACTCCGTGAATTATTGTATATTTTACTTTAATTACAATATTCTAATTTTGTAGAGTTTGAAGAGGAAACCACTCGGGCAAAACGTGTATGGCTTGGCCAAAAAAGTCATTTCAGGCCTATATGAGGAAATATGCAATGGCAAATTGATTGTAAATTTAATCATTTTAGCTATTGATTTTTCAGTTTCAAAACTATGTTATAATGCGATACAAAAATTCCACTAATTTTCAATGCAGAAGTCACCTTATTAATGTGATCAAATAAAATAATTTAAAACTCTTTTGAGTTTTATATCTATTAGCATCGTTAAAACCAGCATTTGAGCAGAAAAATCTTAAAAATATCACTATTTACTGGTTAGATTTACACCCAATTGTGGCCTAGGTTTTAATATAAATTGATCGCAGGACATATTTGACCCGGTTCAAAATATAACAGAAAATATTTATAGGAATATTTTCAACAGAGTTGTGAGGTCTTTTTATTAATACATTTTCCTTAATGCGAGTCTTTCACTATAATCTCATCTCCCTCCAAAAAACAAAAAAAAACAAAAAAACCACTTACTTGTGAGTTATGTCTCCAAACCCTCTAGCCTTGTGCCGTTCCTGAATCTCCTTCACTAATTTCATACACTTCTCCTTGTCCTCGCAAGACTCCGTGTCCGTGTATTTCCAGAACCTCACGAACAGTATGGGCTTACTGAGATAAGTATGCCCCTCTATATGGGGTCCCGCTCCCCACTCCCTTCTAGGAACGAATATGTTTTCTATCGGTTCCATCTTTGGGGGTTCCCAGTCAGGTACATATGTCGACCCTTTTTTGAACTCCTTCTTCTTATTTTTTTCTTCTTCCTCTTCTTCATCTTCAACATTTTCACCACCTCCGGTCCAAGGCTGGAGAAGCTCTGAGTCATCCAAAGGGGGGATTTTCCTGGATATTGCAAGGCATTATTTTCAATTATGTTGTAAAAGAAAACTTAAATAATTCAATATTTTATTTTTTACGAAAGCTTAGGTGTAACCGGAAACACGTGTTGTGGTATGGGTAATTACGACCTTCTAAGATTTGCACTTGATCATGTAATGGTGTGGGTGTGTATTAAAAAGTGCAAATTATATAAAAACATCGGTTAACCATTAAGAATGTTCTATTACATTATATACAGACTACATACTCGTATATCCATAATCGTTGAACAGCGAAATGTAAATAGCAAAATCATTTTCGTTGATTTATTATTCTTTTGTCACTAAACACTACGAGGTTATGGGCGGTGGAAAGAAAATTCACATTTAGAGAGTGTCTACCTTATGTTATGTTATGTTTGCGTGTCTACCATATCGTATATTTAAGTGAAGTAAAAATTTTATCCGAAATTAAATTTCCAATGGATGCAAAAGTGAAACAGTTTTAATATCTTTAGGTAGGTACACTTAAATTGAATTGTATGTACATGCAGAGCAAATTAGTGGTAAAATTTGTTTTTGCTTCAGTGGTGCAAACTTATATGGGAAATAGCAGTAACTTTTGTAAATATGAATCGGAAAGGCCTTGGGTAAAAATCATAAAAAGTTAGAAAATACATCATTACGGGTACAACTTTCCTTCAAACGTTCTATTTACTAATAAGATATAAAACTGTTGGGCAATCGTTCAAAAATAACACAAAATATACTTACACTCTGACCATCCTTTTTAATTTGGTTTATAATATTTAATACTGTAACACTCTAGCACTGTGATCGTATTTACTGTCTACGATTTGTCTTGCGATTTCATAGTTTACTCATTCAAATAGAATATTTTCTATTAACACAGTAACAATAACGTGTATGACTAATGTATAGCGTGTTATCTCAAACTCTAGTTTATAATGGTGCAGTATTATCCGTGGGACAGCAATTTAGATTGTACCTTCATTGTATCTATTTACAATTTTAACATTAGTTATGGTCATGTGGGATATGGTGGTTCCATTTTGTTGCTCAGGATGTGAATTTGTGTGATATAGTGAAATCAGTTAAAATTCTTACAGTTTTGTTGATATATAGTTTTTTTGACATTATATTGTAATTGTTACTATGTTTACTTGGTAATTTTTTTGAATATTTCATACATCTACTTTCAATTTCTCTTCACCCAATGTGTACTTAAATTATTCAATAATAGCCTCAAAAAAGGCATCATTAAAAATTTTAAATGGTACATTTCAGTTACTAAATACATAACGCCTTAAAATAATTTTCATGCCTTTTATTTACAAAAGATGTTTACATATAACTGAATATCAGGTGATATAAGGTAATAATTCACATAAATAACAATAAGAACATCTCAGATTTCTTTTTCACTCATTTCAACCACGGTGGAGGATCTCCTAGAAACGCTACTTCTTCAATCATGTACCTTTTTGGAACTGCATATTCGATGATGTCAAACACCAAATTATAGACCCTCTGGCCATTCGGTTCTTCAGGACAGTCTGAAAAAGTAATTTCGTATCTTTATACTATTGAAACGCTTTCAGGATTATTTTCCCGGACTAAACCCTCTCCTGTCCCTCATCTCATTGGCAAAAACGTCCATTCTGTCTGGAAACACATATTGTTCAGGAGTATGGATATAGTCCTTAAAGAAACCTAGAAACTCGGGAAATTCATTTAGATACCCTTTTTTATGAAACTTATGTACAAACTTCTCTAGTGTGTATAGCAGCTTTTGCTCTTGCAGAGCATACATTTCTGAAACAAGTAAAAGTTGAATTGAAACTAAGTAAACATACAGAAATTTGAATATTTTAAGTAAGCTGTAAATAGTTAATTTTATGAAGATACATTCTGAAATGTAATATCAATTTTATCAGAAATCTGCAACTTCGTTTGATTTTTACCAAGATTAAATTCGAAATAGTTTTTTGTCGAAATTGCGGAGTACCTAAGCTGCAATACAAACGTCCAAGCGAACATTGTTGAGACCGTACATATATAAAATGTATAGGTTTTAGTTAATTTAATTAAAACTTTAATGTTATAAAATTTTAACGTTTAATTTTAAGGTTAGAGAATAAACTATCATTCGAATAATGTATGAACACTCTTCTCCAACATTAACAAATTCCACATGTACAAGTTCTCACCATAAATTTACTAAAAATTACATTAACTCATCATCAATTGGTTGCAAAATCAATTATCATTCAAGTATCAACATGATACAATTTTAACATCTTGACAGACACAAGTCATAAAATGGCTCAAATAATACGACAGCTTACCATCAAGAGGTCCGATATACACGATTTCAATGTACTCCCCGTCGTACTTGGGGAATTCTTTACTCTTACGGGGTTTCACAAATAATCCTCTTCCTTCGTAAATTCGCCCGTCGTCACCAATTATGAAGCTAAAAATATAAAAAACAACGCTTGATATAATATAAGTAATAATTTATCGCTATTACTTTAGGTTATTTCAACATATGTCACATATTTTATTAGTCACAAATGTCCAAGAGGTTTGAGTATTAATATCAATAATTGTCTTTACCTTCAATGTCTAAGGCCAAGTATTCTGTGAAGATCCTCATACAAAACACTTATATATTTCATCTAGGCTATTTTATTTTGTGTAATCAACCCTATATCCTTGTAAAATATAGAAACCCACAATACATTCACAATTGGTTGGGAATTCAACTTGCTAGTCAATGTGCCAACTTTACTCACTTAGCATTGATGTCTATGCACTTGGGAGCCTCCATGTCCCTTTTCTGCAAGGTTTGACAAGCCTTTATACATTTTTCCTGAGTCAGACAAGGTCTCATTTCTGGTTCTGACCTGAGCCAGATGAACTCTATGGGATGTTCCAACTCTACTCCTTCGTTTTTCGGCGGTAAAGCCCCCCATTTCGCCCTTGGCACCACTTCCAAAGCCATGTCTCTAAAAACCAATAATACTTATTATATAATTTATTTTTATATTTCATATTGGGATATTTTATTGGTTATTTTTTATTGGGTTTTGATAGCCTTTCAGTTTTTTTCTGAATTATTCTTACCTTAAACTATGTCTACAACTAATTTTTTAACACATAAAACTTCATAATGATCAAAACGAGGGACGATGAGGTTTTTCCTTGCAATTACCTCATACTCATAGTTACATTTTAACTATATATCATAATAAATATTCATTATTTTATAATCATTATATTGGATATATAATTATTTTATAAGGAAACTACTGAAATTATTGATTCAGGCAATTGTGTTAATGATGGTTCTATACAAACAAACTCTATAGACTTGCCCTTTTTCCGTTTGTAAACTTACAATATTAAAGCAATAAATAAAACCTTTAAGTGAAAGACTTTAAGTAGAAAATGCTTTGTAAACATAATCTTAAACGTGTTTAAATATGCCTACCTGAGTTGTGTAAATTCTTGATAGGGAAAAATATTATTACCATTTTAAAGAAGTATTTCTAACACCAAATTTCACATAGAAAACCACAAACTAACTAAACAGACCATTTAATACTTACTTTGGCATGGTGAATTATTACTGAACTTCCCAGGTGAATTGGTAAATTATAGTATAATTTTAAAACAAAATATAATTCACAACATTCGGGTACGTCCACCACAACCAAATTACAAAAGCTGTAAAAATAGAATGGAAAGTTATATATGTTTGGAACATTTTCAAGTTCAACTAAAGATATCACATTCTCAAAAGTATCCTTTAGCACACTGGATCTATTAGGCGTATTTGTAGACTGGTAAGGCTGTACTAGTTGAGTTGAGATCACTTCTCAGTTTAAAATACATAGGTTTGGTTCAACGATATAACAACGATGAGTCGTATATCAGTGAAACTGCTGCAATAACTTAGATAAGAATAAGTTTTTTTTTTATAATAACTTCTTAGGACGAATATACTGTGACTATAAGCCACATCCAATGTTATGGTGAAAACTGGAGACACCGTTAAGACATCGATCAATTTTACTGCTTAATAGATTAGTCACACTTGAAGATCAGCTGAAGCTAGTTTTAAGGCATGCCTTGTCTGAAATGTAAAGTTAAGTATGTATTTCATTCTATTTCACCTACATTAAAATATTACTCTACTACAAGTGTATATGAGTACGTATATTGAAAGATAATAAACTGTATTTTTAAGAATTGAACGGGAAAATATTTTATGTGTACGTGAAAGAAATACGTCTCAACTACAATTAAATAGTAACAAGCGTATTATTTGTCAATAGAATTTTTTAACTAATGGTATTTAAAAAAATATTTCCATGAACTGTCTTTTGTGATCATTACGTAAGAGACTCCATGTAATTAATTCGTCATTGCGTTTTATGATTGGAGTGTATATTTAACATCAATCACCTCTTACAATATTGTTTGCATTATTAAGTGAATGATTGATTTTAATCGGTATAGCCTAACACAACCCAAACTACCAATACGTCAAACCATTTGTACTACTTATTACAGTTATATATCAACATCTTGTCTAGCTAAATACATCTCTTTGAAGTTATCCAGTATAGAACCTAACATCCTCAACTTGCCAACACTAATTCACTCCAAGACTTTTTAAGGTCCTATTTAGCACCAAACTGACATAACATTATTCCACTCTTCAGTATTTTCTCTCGAGTGTTTTAGAAGGACGTTTTCATATTTTACCCCCGCTCGACTTCCTGCGGAGACCAGTAGCCGAGATCTTATCGTCCATTTCTGTGTGGCCTGGACATAACTCAGACCAGCTTGCGTAAACAAAAAATCCAAAAACAGGTGGTCCCAGATATGAAGACGTCTCAAAACTGATTTATACCCTTATTAAGGGAATGTACAAGAACACGTCTTGTCCAGCTTATCTCTCGGATTTAGATGTTAAACTTACATATAGGATCGTATAAGTCATCGTGGGACATAAACAATATTGTTTCTCTGCCAGTGTTGCGTGGGTAAGTATTTTGCTCATTTCCCCAAGTTTATGATTCACTTGGGACAGGTCAGGAAGGATTGCAATCAGTTGAAACGGTAAAACAGTGTGTGTGTGTTATATTGTTTAGTTATAATTAATTTATGATGAATGGATGACAAATAAAACTATAATTTCAATGAAAATAATGTCGAATTGATTACATAACGTTCAGCAAGAATACTTCAACTGCATTACTTATTGATTAGTGTACACTACACTCAAACATACACTTGATTTAAATTGAATTCTATGGTCCTGACCATTATGTCTTTCAAAAAACGAAGATCTTTCTTGTAACAGACATTGCAAATCATTGTTGATCTTAAAGCAAAGTTTGTGGATCAGTATCTGAATAGTCGGTATATAGTTTGAACTAAGAGAAGAATCATACCTCAAATGTGTTTTTAATACAGTACCACAAATTTTACACCGTTATCAACAAAAAGCGTAGAAGGCATTACGATTTTACACAGTAAGAAGCAGAATATGTAACATTATGCAACAAAATAAACAAATTATTTTTAAAGTTTTAAAATATTTATAAGAAGGTATCGAAGTGATCCGCATCTGTTAGAAGTCAACAGAGTGATTGATAAATCTACTCCTTCGGTTTCACTAGATTACTTACAGACCTTTAGAGATCTTACAATATATACATTCAGGCTAATTGTTACTCCCCCCATGTTTATCAAACAACTTTTACGATCATTTAACTTTATTTCAAAATTCATTCCCCCTAATTATTTATTTACACCTATCTCCTTGCGTTCCGTTGATCCCTGATGAGTGGTGGATCCTTCAACACAGAGGGGATTTGTCGATGCGCGGGTGAGCACTGCGTGCCGAGTGTTGCCGCGTTGCGCGGTAGCGATGTAGGCATGCGCTACACTGCTGCAGCACGTATGCGCGGTATGTGACGCGTTACAGCAGCGCATCTGCATAGGTATGGCGCTGGTGTCAATTACGGTCGATTATATGCGAGGAATGGCCCTCTTACAACAGATTACCTAGGATCCCTGCAGGCGAATATGTGCAGCAGATTATGCTTTGCAGTAAAAATGTATATAGGGCTTTTTGTGTAATAATAGTTGACGTGTGACACTTGTTGGTGATTTGTAAGGGATATGAGTGATCGTAAACTTTAGGTGATATTTTTTAAGTGTGTGAAGTGGTTGGAAAAGATACAGAACATACAAGTCTTTAAACAAAGATCAAAGTCCTATTCGTGTCCTTAAAACCCTGTATTCAACAGTATTTATTAGACACCTTTAGTTTTGTGGTGGATTATTTGGCAGCAAGTTGTAATGGGTTCCAGGGCAACGAAAGGCAACTACACTTACTATCTTATAATTTATTATATTTACATGTGCTTTGTTAATTAAATTAAAGTAGTATTTAAATTCCGCCTCACAGGATATCGAACGACTAAAATCAAACGACCAAAAGTTATGTAATTTTACTAAAAGTATACATCTTATAAAGTTCTAGGTTTGCGGACCTAGAATATTTAATATACGGTACACTTAAGCTTCATTGATTTCCGTCTTTATCTACACACTGTGGTGAATTGACGTTATATTATAATGCCATACGTGCCATATAATGTACTGAGTTCACTATACAGCTAAGATATATTCATAAACTAACAACACTGAACTAGCAACACTGAAGTTATTTTGCAATACATATTTTTCGACCCACTATTTAACCAGGTCTAAAACTTATACATTGTGTGCCATGCTTGTTGGACAATCTCCCAACCAATACAACTCTATACACCTCCACTCGCCCACTACTCTGATCCAATTATGTTTCCGATAACACTACAATGCCCGCGCCCTCTTATCACATGAAAAGGTTATGTACGAAATCAATTCTGTCTTTCCCCCTATTAAAGTCTCCGCCGCGTCGCCAGGACCACCTATCCTGGAAGGATAGCGGACATAAAATATAGGTGGGTATTGGGTGGAAGGCTTTTACGTGATAACACGACTACAAGGACCACCCACACAAACGATGTGGCTCTCGTACGCGCATCGGCGGCCACGCGCGCCCGTGCCACACTGTTGACATCTTCTTCTAAGCGCACGGGCTGGTATCCGGGGCCAGGGCGTTCTTCTTCTTCGTGATGTTCAGTCCAGTGAGCTGAAACCCTATGGACTGAGGCTGTTTTTGGACTTTGTCCTCTTCAGCCAACCAGGGCGTTTTGATGGGAACATAAAAGTGTCACTCTTATTTTTTGTATAGTAAATCATTTATCTGGTGATAATTATCTAGAAAAACAACTTATTTCATTTACCTAAATTACATTTTTAATCTTCTTATATTTTTTTTGTTTTATATAAAAAAGCTAGGAGAAAAAAAAGCTTTTTCAATGTAATGCCATTCTGCTTCTGTAAATTCAAAGTTGTATCTACCATGTTCTTTCTTTAAGGTTTTCTGGCTAGGAATTATTAGCAAATCACAGCTATGAACGAGGACCAAAAAGCAAAGACCTCGGAAATGTACCACAGTAGGCATTGCTAAATACTGCACTGCACTAAATTAATTGTCATCGGTCATATATTTTATCCTCCTTTATCCGCAACTAACCACCCTCCTGTGTTATAAACCCTATATACGTATTCTATAACTGTATTCGCAGTCAACGGTATTTCCCTGCATGGTTTTCTCAGATTCCATTGTGCCATAACCCACAGCGCCGGCGCGAACAGCTGATTTATAGGGTTGCGCCACTGGAGCTCGAATTCTCATTTCCGCCGGGTAATACGAGTTTTCAAAACCAGAGAGCGCCACTGTCCCCATAAACGGCTCCCGTAAGCAGACAAAACCCATAAAATTACTATAACGACGGTAAATAATTGGGCGTATGTGATGGAGCAGTATTTCACGACGTTAATGTCAACGATAAGCCAGTTTGAATTATAGTCCAATAAGGTCCGAGGCCAGACCTTTAGATCGGCGTAAAACTTCACAAACCCCGTAATGGAGTTCCATATTTCACAAGTTGTTCGGTAATTTACAACTATTGTTTGTATTTCGGTGTTTATTTTAGTCAATGGCAGTGTAATATTGTTAATGAGTCGTAATTCTTTGTGTTTAATTTTATAAGATGTTGCATCGTAACTTATTTCCCCACTAATGTTTGTTTATTGGTGTGTGTAGAGACACTAATCGCTCCTGGATTACCTAACAGAAGCGATATTTTGCTGTGTGTTTTTGTTTTACGTCTAGAGTTTTCGTGCAGATTTGATTATTTATTTACATTTTTACTTTGATTATTTATGTATTTTCTGTTTGCAAACTAGCTTTTAACGTGGGAGAGTGGTCTTGGTTTACATTTTTGTGGTGCTAAAGGTAATGATGAAGAATATCTTCATTACATGGATATTAAATCAGATGTTCTGATCTGTGGAGTTCTGTTTTATTTTAAATGTCAAAACATGAGAATTGCTATTAAATGCTCAACCTGGTAAACGAATTACCCATTGGGCCCCAAAAGCGTGCTTACTTAATCAATTATTTTTTTGGGTCACGTTGACACCTTTTTTCTAGGGCAAGTAGTAGTCGCGATTTTGTCTCCTATAAATGTATATATTATTAGTCTGGCTAATAATATACAGTTGCATGTTTATTTATATTGTAAATTTTATTGTGTACTCGACTATTAATTTAAATGTTTAAACTATTAAATGTTTAACATCTGACTACTAGGTTGACTACTAGTTTGATCCTAAACCTAATCGACTTTTGTACTAAAAAGATTTCATTCAATAGTTTACAACACTTTTGGGTCATTTA